AGAAAATTTGTATTGCTGAGTTATGAAGAAATGAATTTGCATTTTGCCTGGGCCACTCAATAATTATTCTTTAAAACTAACAAAGAGCTGGCAAGATATAGGACAATTATAGGAAGGAGAGCAAATATGGAATCAATCTTGCAGCAAGAGCCCAGAAATGACTGTCCAATAATGAAACGATTTGAAGAGAGAAAAATCTGTAAACATTTAGAGGGACAGTGAAATCATAAGCAATAAGGAGAAAGATCTGTGAATATCAAACGCTGCCAAGTCCGAAGTTCTCCCCACACACTAATATTTTAGAATTATTCAATGAAAAAATGTTTTAGAAAGCCGCCCCACATTTGGGGATGCAACTGATAATGAGTATAGAAAACAATTATGGCAAACTAAATATAGAAGGGAACTTCCAAGAGCATCTGGTTCCACCATCCAGTGTAACAGATGAAGAAACAGAGATAGAGGAGTTAAGGGACTTATCTCAGTTCACCTTGTTTTCCAGCTTCTTCTACACACAGTCGTTTCTACTATACCATACTCTGCTATTGTTCACACAGAGGGATAACAAATCTGAACTGAAAGTTTAGATAACAAACATAAAGGAAAAATAAATGAAATTCAGATGTTCAGTAGATATGAAAAACCCCAAAGATTATAATGTGCAAAAGACAGAGGGATACTGTCATAATACCTGATGCCATCAATGGAGATTGGCTCATGACATGTATTTATTTATGCAGGTGGTGAAAGCATAAAACACAGAGAACTCATTCATGTTTCTATGCCATTAAAACAAGAGGGCAGCTACAAGCTAAGCCTTCTAGGGAGATGGTGGATGCATGACCTTCATTGAGGACATCTCTTATTCTTCAAAAAGTATTTAGGTAAAATAAAGCCCCAAGAGAGTGAAAATTAGAGCACTGTCCAGCCCTAAGATTTTAAGATGCTTTATTGCCACTTATTTATAATTTTTTAACATTGTGTTATGGAAAATGTCAGACATACATCGAAGTAAGCAGAATAGCATTAACAAACCTCATGTACCCATCAATATCAACTTCAGCTTCAACAATATCAACTTACAGTCAATCTTGTTTCATCAATACTTCCACTTACCTCCTCCCTTCCTTAGTATTTTAAAGTCAATCCCAGATGATAGTATGTGATTTCATCTATCAATATTTTCATAGGCATTTCTAAAAGATAGGTACTCAAAAAGCATAATCACAATGCAAATATCACACCTATGAAAATTAACAGTAATTACGTAATATCATGAAATGCCCATAGTTCACATTTCCATTTATTTCATGATCTCTCTTAACAGTTTGTTCCAACTGTCATCCAAATAAGGTCACTTTATCTCTTTAGTCTCTTTTGATGCACAGTTTCATCTTCCCCCTGCCCGGCAATTTATTTGTTGAAGACACCAGGTTGTTTGCCTAGAGTCTCCCACAGTCCGCAATTTACTGAATGAATCCCTGTGTGTCTTCTGTCCTCTGTATTTCAAGGTAGGTAGTTCTAGAGCTGTGCTGCCCCGTAGGGTAGCCACTAGCCACACTGTAGCTATTTAAATGAAAATTAGGTGATACTAAAAGTTCAGTGTCTCAGTCACACCAGCCACATTTCAAGTGCTCAGTAGCCACAAGTGGCTAGTGGCTACCTATGGAGCAGCACACACATAGAGAACATTTTCACCATCTCAGAAAACTCTGTTGGACAATCCTACTCTAGAGGCTTAATAAAACTCTGTGAGGTTGCCTTGGGGGGAAGTAGATGTTGAGTAGTAGGTGAGTCATCCACGAAGTATTTGACTCACAGTTGATCTCCTACACAGCAGTCACTTTAAACCTCCACAACTGGACTCTGAAGATAAAATAAAAGTTCAAGAAGTATGTGTGTTTTTAAAGTTATGTAAGTAGTATACTTAAACATGTTTTTGTGATTTCCTTTTCTACTGAACTCTTTAAATAAGATTTAACCATGTTGATATATTTATCTGTAGTTTATTCATTTTAATCGATGTATAATATTGCATTGTTTTATGTATCACAGTTGATTAATTAGATTGTTTTCAGTTTTCTGTATCATACACTGAGCTTCAAGGAACATCCTTATATAACTTTTGCCTCCTGTTATATATAAGTAAAGGAGGCAAGCTTGACATGAACTTGCTGGGACATTGAATGTGTACATCTTCAACTCTAACAGTTATTGCCCAATCACTCTCCAAAATGATTATAACAGTTTATACTCCCGCCAACAGTATGTGAGTGTTCCCAGTTTCTTACATCATTACCAACACTAGGTAGATTCAGATTTTTAATTTTTACCAATATGAGCTCATCTATATGCAACAAAAGGATTAAAACAAGCATAAAAAAGAAAGGGAAAGGAATGGAGAAGGGAGCCATGACTTAGCTCAATCTGTAATGTTTTCTTTCTTACTAAAAAAAATAATATGACAAAAAGTTAACATTTGCTAAATGTGAATGGTGGGCACAAAAGAGTTGTTTTGACATTTTTTAGGATTGTTTGGTAGATTTACACTATCAGAATTAATTTTTATTTCATAATCCTTTTTTAATGCAAAGACTTAATAAGTTATTCAGCACATGTTTTTGAATATGGAATTAGCTGCTATCTGCTAGGTTTCTGTTTATTTCTTTATTTTGGTTTGGAGATTTTGTTTTGGGGGTTTGTTTATTTACTTATTTATTTTGACATTTCACTTTAAAAAGACAACACATAGAGCGACAATCCATTGGTTGTATTTTCCCCAAATGACCTGCAGCTCATGGAGTATTTCCGTCAAGCTTAACTCAGTCAAATACAGTATTGCCAACTAATTGATTTACTTTATACTTCTATGCTATATTACATGTCAGCAAGGCGATTTCCTGTATACTTTCATGCTATATTATATAACATATCACATAGCATTTGCTTCCTCTATGGCTGATATAAACTAAAGAGAGGGCAAACTGTAAATGAAACCTTTGCTTGGAATAGTGTCAAGTTTTGTGGAGTATTACTACTGACTAGTTGCCATTGACTCATGGACTATGTGGACAAAGTAAATTATCTGTCACTGACATGGAGGTGGGCTAAGTTTTAGTATAACTATATTTGCAATGGTCACTTTAAAAATTCAAACTAGAACTCTTCTAGGGAATATGACTACAAGGCCTGATTAGATTGATTTGTCAGTCCAGAAACAATTCTTAAATCTCTTTTACATACCAGGCACCCTGCTAGGCCCTTTGAGGGCCATAAAGACAGACAAGCATTGGTTCTTGCCTCTGATAACTTACAGCCAGGCAACCTTTTTCTTTTACAAAACTAACTACAAAAATTTTATTTTTATAGTCGGAAGCTCACTCTGGCTTTGTTCTATTTTGATCTTTATAACTTATTTTAAAGATCATTCAGTAGTTATTCATTGCTCGGTCAGTCTTACTGACCTTTGGCCAAAAGCAGTAACATTTTGACCTGGCCTGTGGGACTCAGCTCTCCCCACTCCATGAAGCTGGGGGTGTAAATAACTTCAAATAAAACCCTCCTGGCAATCTGTGCTGGGCACAGCATGAGAGAGAAATGGGACAAAGCAGAGGAAAGAATCAAGTGGGAGTACCCAAGAATAAGTGAGAATGGTATCCATGTTTTAAGCATCTTTTTTCCTCCTCTCTCTTAAGATATTTATTCTGCTTCTCTATTAGTAGGTACAAAAAAAATTATGGGAGGAAACAACAAACCAAAATGATAAAATCCACCACACTCCCCTCTATGCGTAGGTCTTCCACGTGGGCTCCTTTCGGGCTGAACATGCAGCGTAAATCATAGCAGCAAAGAACTCGGTGAAGACACACTTATTATGTTTATAAACAGCCAGGGGGAGTGGCCACCTTGAAGGTGGAGCCATGGAGTCTGTGTGAGTGTACGTGCCCGTTTGTGTGTGTGTGTGTGTGTGTGTGTGTGTGTGTGTGTGTGCAGACAGGTATCACACATGCGCTTGCTCATGAACAACACAAGGAGAAAGAACGATCTGCAGGAGGAATGGCTGGCTATGTTTTGAAGCCATTCACACTTTATGCTGTCTGAACTTCAAAACTAAGCAGTTCTGAAGGCCATTTAGTGGCAGCAGTGCAGGACTTCCTGAGACAAGAAGTTCGGCTCATAAAATAGAGGTGCAGCTGCAGCTGGCCAACAGGACATGAAAAGAGCTCTTTGCAAACGCCAGCCTGGTGAGGGTAGTGTAAATGATTCAGAAACACCTGGCTGATACTTCCCTTGAGGTTCCCAGAGGATGAACTGGTTATGAAGGACCTGGTTAACTGAATGCCATCAGGCAAGCTGAGTAGTCCAGAACGCTGGGGGAAAAGCACAGAGAGATGATGCCATGATAACGAGAGTGCTCCAGGAAATAGGCCTCCCTGTGTCAGTGGAGAAGGGTTAGGAATAAAATGGTTCACTTACATTTTCTTATTCTTGATCAAGCCAAGGCATCTCTTCTATGAGATCGATAGTATATCTGCATGATCCCAGTTGCTTGATATGGAGGCCCATGTGCCTTTTCATTCATCCAACACCTACAAAAAGAGAAAGTCTAATCCTGTGCTAAATTGAATCAGATCAAATGTCAAAAGGGTGAATAAAAAATTACCTGTATAATAAGATTAACAATGGGAAGATTTATATTGTGATTCTGCCATTGAGTCCCACGGCTCTAGGCCAGTTTACCTCAACAGTGTGAGCCTCACATCTTTAAAAAGGGAACAACAATATTTCACATAATTGTTGGGAGGACTGAAATAATGTAAATAGAAGTACTTTGCATGCACAATGAATATTTGAGAAATGTTTATTTTTATTTTAATACCCATAGCATTAATTCTCCATAATCTTTATAGCCAAGTAGAATGCTAGCTGTCAGTGAAGAGGCTGGGTTGAAGGCAACCTTGCATCCTGTGCTCAATTTCTTCTCTCTTCCCCTCCTGCAGTCGGCTCCTCCCTGAAGAAGAGGTTCAAGCGGCGGGAGATCGAAGCCATCCAGTGCGAAGTGCGGAAGATGTGCAACTACACCAAGATCCTGTCCACCAAGAAGAACTTGGACCACGTGAACAAGATCCTGAAGGCCAAGCGGCTGCAGAGACAATCAAAAACAGGCAACAACTTCGTGAAGAAGAGGCGCGGGCGTCCCAGGAAGCAACCCACCCAGTTCGATGAGGACTCCAGAGACCAAATGCCGGTGCTGGAAAAATGCATCGACCTGCCCAGCAAAAGGGGCCAGAAGCCCAGCCTGAGCCCGCTGGTGCTGGAGCCCGCCGCCAGCCAAGACACCATCATGGCCACCATCGAAGCGGTCATCCACATGGCCCGGGAG